TTTTTTTTTTACTGAAACATGGACAGATTTCAGACTGTTATGGGTATCAAAGGACCCATAACCCCTTGGAAACCTATCATGACATGCAAGGCTGCTAAAACAGTACACTTGACAATTTGCTGCTTCATAGAATAGGAAATTTCTAATCCTGAGATTAAGCTCAATCAGGAAGCCAACAGTGAGCTGAGGACAGGGGACAGGATTATCGTCACTCCAAATCCACAGTGTAGTGAGAAGCAGGTTTGAGTGACACCTTGAGATGGCTGTGAACTTGGTTTTTGTTCTTAGTTGCTCTTGAGTTGGCTTCTGGTTTATGGCAAGCCTACGCACGAAATGATCTCAGGTCCTGCACCATCCCCATGATCAGTTGTGGGGCAGACCATTGTGGCTCAGACAGATTTCTCTGGCTGATTTTACGATGTAAAGCACCAGGTGTTGCTTCTCAGTCTATAGGAATCTACATTCTGCTGAAACCTGTTCACCATCACAGAACACACAAGCCTCCGCTGACAAGACACGTGTTGACCATGCATTAGGTGTATTAATGAGACTCTGGTTTCCCTCACGGAAGGTGAGACTTCTACCACAGACCCACCAAATGCCTCAAACCACCAATGCTTGGTCCCTATTTATTCTTAACAAAGCAAACCACAAGGCTGAGAAGGAATTCAGAATTTTGAGGTAACTGGGAGTTTTAAGGTAACTGGCTCTGGGGTGACCAGGTATCAGTGCCAGCGCTATTCAGCTATTCATCTTTCTGAGTTCTCATTTCTCTCTAGGCTGGGGACCCTTTAAGAGAGGCTCTGGTGGCCTAGTCTGCAAGAAGCCATGCTGCTACCACAAAGGTCTGAACCCATCAGCACCACTATCTCCTTCCACGCAATTTACAGCCTCTTGAAAACCCATTGGAGTGTCAGTTATGAGTTGGGTCCAGATGGGTCTTTTTAAGATGAGGGACCATAGTAGGCTTTCTAATCATTGTTGTTGCTTTTGATTGCCTTCAAGTCGAGCACAACTCATAGCAACCCTATGAACAAATGGCCTGAAGCCCCTCTACAACTATCATCATTTATCAAAGTTCATAGAGTTTCTGGAGGCATGTTATTTAATAAATGGATAAATGGATATTAATAATAACTAAATATTCTTCTAGTCATAGCCAGCCCTATTTCTCATCACAATGGGAATTAGAAGATAATATTTTGTCTTTTTTTTTTTTCAATATCCATGATTGGTCAAAGGTAGAGCCCCACCTACTATAATTCACATTGTCAAAGAAAGCAGAGCCCCACCTATCATCCACATTTGTTGTTGTATGCCATCAAGTCTGAATCAACTCACAGCTGACCCTCCAGCAGGGCACCGGAGGAGGCTGTCCATCATCCTCCTTTGGAGCAGCCGGTGGATTCAAACTAGGTGACTCAGGGCTCCAAATCACCAGCAGCTCTGAGAGGGAAAGATGGGCGATCTCTTCCCATGGGATTTATAGCCTGTGAAAACCTGCTGGAGCGTCAGCTACGAGTCAGCTCCGACTCGAAAGTACATAATGGCAACCATAATCCACATATCCTCCCCCTGGACCAATCTTGTGAAAGATGACAACAGCCTTCTACTAACCAGTTTTGACCTTGGAAACTCTGTGCGATAGGGTCACTGTGACTCAGAATCAGCTCAATGGCAGCAGGCTTGGGCTTGGAACTTGGGTGTATTAACGAGCAGGAAGTCATGCAAGACAATGCCTTGCCACTCTGCCACGCAAATTTGTTGGCCAATTCATAGGAGGTGGCAGTTGATTCTCTTATGATAATTCAGAGGGTGGTGGCAGCGGCAGCAGGGAAATTTTCTATAAATGGCTTTTATAACCCAGGCATTATGTCATTAGGAAAAACTGATGCCGCTCAATAGAGGGGAGGAGGGGGGTAAGAAATCTGTTCCCAAAGCAGAGGCTTTTTGGAATGCTATTAAGTGTCTACTCGAAGTCACAACATTGAAGATTTCACAGCAACAGCATCAACACATTGTAAAGGCGCATGAGGAGATTTGACTTTGCTGCTGCCTTCATTACTCATTCTACTGGAAGCAAGAGAAGGGGAGGGAGAGAAGAAAGATGGCAAGTCAGGCTTATTATTACTAGTCTTCATTCATTCATGTTTTGTAAAGCAAAGCCTCACCCTGCAATTTTAAAAGGGCCCCTCTCTCTAGTCACGGGCAAAGCTGGAGGATATTGATTATGCTCCTTTCTATCGACAAGAACTTAATTAGCAGAAAGATCCTCGAGTTCTGGAAGCAGACCGACTTTGTGAGCCTTCTCTCACCGCCTCAGTTGTCTGAGCACTGTTTTGGTTTAGGGACCAGGAGGGTGTTTTTTTTTTTTTGCCTTTCTGACAGTCCCCTGGGGATTGCCTGGCCTGGACCTGAGAAATATCAAGGAGGAGAATGGAAGGAATGGCTTGGATCCTTCTGGATCTCGGAATAAGGCTGCCCTCCGATTTGAATTTCAATTCTGCTACTTTCATGCTCTGTGGCCTTGGGATGTTACTTAGCCTTTCCAGGCCTCAATGAAGCCAGTCGTTCCTCGCCCCTCAGTTCCTGCTATTCATTTCTGCATTTCTGACATTTAGAAGCACCTACTGGTAGGGCTATTACTTGGAAATGGACATCATGATTGGAAAGGTGGAGGGTCAGTGAAGGAGAGGAAGATCCTCACTGAGATGGACAGATAAGAGTGTCTGTAGCAATGGGCTCTAGTGTGTCAGAGATTGTGAGGATGGCATAGGATATGACAGGGTTCAGATCACTATGAGTTATACTCGATTTGACAGCACCTAACAACAGAGACTGCCAAGAGAGCAGAGTGGTTCTTGGTGCTGGATTCTTTCCCACAAACAAGTGACATTCAGATAATTAAAAGTTGGCTCCACACAAGGCAGCTGGTGAAGATGCCTCACTACTGTTCTGTAAATAACACTAATGATGAAAATCAAATGGCCAGACAGCAGCCCCCCTGTGCTCCCACTCACATTCATGGTTCCGTTGATCTCTGCCACCGACTCGTCATCCGTGGGGAACTGGTAGATCTGGACCCCATTGCTGACCAGCTCGCTGGTGATTTTGATTTTGAATTTGGTGAGCTCGCTCTTGGAAATGGCATCAGATTTGGCAATGATGGGGATGATGTTCACCTGGGAAAGGGAGAGCGAAGAGGGGGTCAGGGTAGGGAAATCTGAACTTGACAACAGCATGGCCTACAACTCCCGCTCCAGTGAGAACAGCTCATCCCAATAATCTAGGACCAGGCCACCTCTCTAGCCAAATAGCAACAGAATAAACAACACCGAGGGCTTAATACAAACTGGGCACTACATCAAGTGCTTTACAAGTATTAATGCACTCAAGTCTGACAACCCTCCCAGGGGATACTAATTACTACTATTTGCCAATGAGAAGCACAAGAATAATGTGAAAGTTTGCGGTCATAAAGATGTTCACACCCAATAGGGCAGTTCTGTTCCATCCTATTGGACTGTCATTTGTCAGAATCACCTTGATAGCTGTTGGTGTGGTTGTGAGTTTGATTGCCACTGAGACATACCATCCCAGGCCAGAGAGCATGTAAGTAGCAGAAATGGAATCCTAATCCAAGGTCAGCCTTATTCCTCAATCTTAATCATGATGCTGTCTACCAGCTCAGATCCACTGACGAATTGATAAGCTTTGGCAAGATATCAAAGTCACACCTTGAGTGATGGGAAGCAGAAAGATGACAGTTGGAAACAGCAAGCTTAGAAAACTTAGGCAAGATGCAATAAAAGAATGGCGCTCATGTGCTCATTTGTAGTGCCAAGCAGATTCTGAATGTCAGGAAAGTATGTTTGCAAACTTGTAAAAAAGCTTTTGAAAGAATCCTAAGGTCATTCCTTCTAAATAGCAAATAATCCTTCTGTAACATGAACAAGTCATGTCTAATTTACATATGGCATGGATCTGCATTTTTGGAAGTTCCTCTAAACAGGATATGGTTGATTCTTACAGACATCTTTCTCAGGCATAGTGCCACACATCTGGATTTGAACCTAGGCTCTGCCAGTTACTACGACCATGGGCAGGTCTCTTATAAACTTCCAACTGTTTAAGTTTGTGAAAACCTCAGAGCTGCAATTTCCCCTTCCAGAAAAAAAGAAGAAGAAGAAGAAGAATTTAAAAAAGAAAACAGGGACAATGACGGTGTTTACCTCACAAAGTTGTTGAGGGAATTCAACAAAATACTCCTCAAGGAACTTAGCACAGTGGTAACACATATTATGAGTTTATAACAAATATTAGCTTTTTGTTGTTGTTAGGTGCTGTCGAGTCTCCTGTGACACAGAGTGACCCTATGTACAGCAGCTCAGAACCCTGTTCTGTCCTGATCTAGTCTCACTAACTCTGACACACCTACCCCCATTGCACCAATTACTGTATTAATCCACCTCATGCAGGGTCTTCCTCTCCTGCGCTGTCCCTCCACCCTTCCAAGCATGATGTCCTTCTCCAAGGACCGGTCTCTCCTGGCCATGTGCCCAAAGTATGTGAGATGGAGATTCAACATCCTAGTCTCCAAGGAGAAACTTGGTTTCACCCTCTCTAAGACAGACCTATTTGTTTTCTTGACAGTTCATGGTATATTCAAGACTCTTTGTCAGCACTGCAATTCTATTACATAGATTCTTCTTCTGTCATCCTTAGTCACTGTCCAGCTTTCTGATACATAGCAAGTAATTACAAAGACCATGGCCTGAATTTGGTGCACCTTAGCCTCTAGACTGACATAGTTGCTTTTCAGCACTCTGGAGAGGTCCTTGACAGCAGATTTTCTCAATACAATTCGTCTTTTGATTTCCTGACTGCTGGTGCTAAGAATGTTGATTGTGGAGCCAAGCAAGCTATAATTGTTAACAACCTCAGTTTCTTCTCCATCTATCATTGACTCAGGGGTGAGAACCTATAATAATATAATATAGTATAATGTAATGTAATATAAATAATATAATATAATTAATATAATATATTAGCTATTATTATAAAATATTGGGCTAGTGTGTTAGGAGTTGTGCTTCCAACCCAAAGGCAGGTGATTCAAATCCATTAGCTTTTCCAAGGGTCGAGATAGGCAAGAGCATCTGAAAACCCGCTGGAGCATCAGCTGAGCCAGTTACAACTCATCAGTACACAACAACAATAGTAAAATATTCTTGATAATAAGAATAAATCCAAACTAAAAGATATGGTCGTCAAGCAGATTCCAACTTATGGCTACCCTCTATCAGGTTTCCGATGCTATAAATTCTTCCTTTTTCTTTCCTAGAGCAGGTAGGTAGATTTGAACCAATGGCGTGACCTGTAACACACTCCGTAACAGAGCAGGGCTTCTTAATAGCTGATCCTGATTCATGGTGACCCCACATGTTACAGAGTAGAACTACTTCACAGGGAGTTAGCTATTTTGTAGGATGGGGAGTTTCCCCCCTTAGTTGCATTTTATTTTTTTGACCAGTTCGGTCAATGCCATTTATTTTAATGTCTTAAATCCTCACTGCACCCTTCCATTTCCTTCACTCTCCTCATCCATCCACTAATCTCTGCTCCCCTCTTCCTCTCCTCTCAGCCCTATTAACCCTCCAGGATTGTTCCAATCAGTGTGTATACTTTATCTTTTTTCCTCCTCTCTAGCTCAATTAACTATGCATATCCTGTCCCAGATTATTTATTGCAATGCATACAATCGGAATGCTCCATAGAGTTTTCTTGGCTTGCAATATTAAGGGAAACAGATAACCAGGCCTTTCTTCTGTGTTACCACGGTAACTCTTAGGTTAGTGAAAATCTCAAACCAAACCCATTGCTATTGATTAATTTCTGACTTGTAGCAACTTTACATTACTGAGTAGAAGAACCTCCCCATAAGGTTTCCAAATTCTTTTCAGATTTCTCCTGCAGAGGGACTGGTAGGTTCGAACCGCCAGCCTTTCGGTTAGCAGCCAAGCATTTAACCACTGTGCCACCAGGAGGCCTCTTTCTGTTAGTAGCATGATATATGCCATTTATACCACCAACGGACTTTAACTCTAGAACCTGTTAAAACACCTTTCTGTTTCCCCAAGATCTAGCTGGCAAACATCTTAATTCCCAACAGGGGCTGGGGCAGACAGACAGCTTGAGGCAAATCCATCCCCAGTGTTTGGAAAGCAGATCAGAAAGCACATGCCGAAGGCACTGTGTCAGTGACACCTTTATGAAGTGCTAGGGGATGACAGAGGAAGAGGATGATGTTCCAAAACCCCTCCTAGAATCTTTTACAAGATTGCACTAAGAGTGAAGCTCGTGTGGCCAGCCTCCCACATGCCCCGCCGTGCCCTCCACCTCATACTTTACTATCCAGCTTCTTCATCGTCACAAGGTCCAGAGACTTCAGGGAATGACCGGTGGGGGCAATGAAGTAGAGGCAGACGTGGATGCGGGAGTCATGGTAGGTATGCAGCACCCTGCGAATCTTCAGCTCCTCCTGCAGATAGGCCTCGAACTGGGCGTCAATGAATTCCACAATCGGCTTGTAGCTAAAATGGGTGAGAAAGATGAAGCAACAAGATAGTTTGCAAAAAAAGGGGGTGGCGTGGACCTAATCTTTTCTGGAAGTTAAAAACACTCTAGGAGACTGAGAAGGATGGGTTCAATAATGTATACTGCATTGAAACAGATGAGGGAGAAAACTGTTTAAGAGGGAAAATTATTAGGTATTTTTGTCATGACAGGAGTCCAGAGTGAAGGCTGCATAGTGGAGTGGCCCTGGGGGGAGGGATTGTAAAACAATGAAAGAATTTTTCTTTTACTTTTCCAAGAGGGTAGTGTACTAGGTGGAGGATTGGGAGGGGAGAAAAATGTAACAATGAATGAATGGAAATCCAAAGTCCCTGTAAATTTTCATTGAAATTAATAATAAATTTAAAAAAAGAATAAAATAAAATTTAAAAAACCAAATCACTCTGGGTAATATGGCCCTCTCCATCCATCTGGGTCTCTCCTCCTCCTCTTACGAGACTCTCAGTCTGTCAGTCTAGCCAGCTTGGTCGCCACATGAGCCACACATATGGTCATCTGGCCATTATCACCCTGGAATGTCTATTTCTCTCTCCTCACCCCCCACAGAGGAAGCTCTGGTGGCCTAGTGGTAAGGAGCTGTGCTGCAATCTTAAAGGCACACAGTTCAAATTCACCAGCTACTCTGCAGGAGAAGGATGGGCAATCTCCTCCTGCGTGATTTAGTGCCTCTGAAAACCCACTGGAGGGTCAGCTATGGGTCGGTTCTGACTCAATAGTACACAATAACAATTTAACATCCCCTTATTTCTCTCAGAACCTAATTTAATGCCTACCTCCTCTGCATAGGGGACGATTATTCCAGAAATCCTTTCTGTGACCCCTCACTCACTCATTGCCGTTGAGTCAGAACTGACTCATGGCTGACCCTCTGGTGGGTTTTCAGAGGTAGTAAATCACTCAGGAGGAGATTGCCTATCTTTCTCCCACCGAGCAGCTGGTGGAGTCAAACAGCCTGCCTGTGAGTTGGCAGCACAACTAGTGCAGCACTGAAAAATATGGTTCTGACATTTTGGATCAAAATATTCTATAAAAGAATCCTAATCTAAAGGCTGCTTGGAAAAGTAGAAGGTGCACAGAAGAGAACAGGATCCTCAAAAAGATGGACTGGCCCAGTGACTGCAATGAGGGGCCTGTTGTGAAGATGGCACAAGACAGGCCAAGGTTTCCATAGTTGTTCATAGGGTCACTAGGAGTCGCAGTCGACTTGACAGCATCTAATGACAACAACCAAGAAGGGGCGGGGGGGGGAATGCAGAACAGAATCTCAAATTCTGATGCAATCCAGATCTTCTGGAGCCACAGATACTTGATGTTGTTGTTTTTGTTAAGTGCCATCGAGTCGCAGGTGACTCATAGTGACCCTACGAACAAAAGTCCTGGACACCTCCTGTGTAACTTTCGTCCTTTCTCCAGGTTCATGGGGGTTCCCGAGGCAAGCTATTGTGGAAGTGGATGCCACTCCTGCTTCCAAGCTTGTTTTAATCAGGGAGCTCCACCATGGGTAACCATTCTCGCATTTGACACATCAGTGTCACAATGTTAGGCTTCACAGCAACCACAAGTTACCTCTGTACAGCAAGTGGACATACCAGGGTTACACAACCTAGAAGAATGTTTCACCAAAAGCAATTAAAGGCAGGCCTGAGGGCTGCAGAGTGTTGATGAACACCCTAAAACTACTGCCCTGAGATAATCTTTAGAACTATAATAATAATAATAACAATAATAATAATTTTAAAAGT